CGCTGCCCCTGGGGGCCACCCTGACCCCCGCAAGCCCCGGGGGTCACAGACGCAGGCCCTCGCAGGGCAGCAGAGGCCCAGACCCGCTGAGAGTGCGGCACGAACGTGAGAGCGCTGCCTGGCCCACAGCAGCCCCCGTGGACCCGCCCCCGCCCCCCGCCCCCACACATGGGTGCGCTCAGCAGACGTTCGCGCAGGGAACGCAGGACTAAGCGGCAGGCCCCGGCGCTGAGCATGCGCACCCCACGCAGCCTCCTGCTGCACTCTGCGACAGACCTGTGACCGGGACGCCGCCGGCCCCCGCCAGCCCCCGCGAAGCTCAAAGGTGATGTAACCTCCCCAGGTCGCACAGCTGGTAAGTAGCAAAGGCTCTCTGAGCACTGACCTGCCGACTCCAAGCTCTTTGCATTGCTCTCCGTGGCCTCCACCCACCCCACGTGCTGACCACAGAAAGAGCACGGGGCCCAGCTGCCACACACACATGCACGCAGGCCACGCCCACGGGCATGGGCACAGGTCCCACGGGCGCACTGCTGGCCCACGGGGCAGTCATTTATTACAAACACATAGCGCCTACTCTGTGCCCAGTGCCAGTCCAGGTGCTTTGTACTCAATCCTCACAGCAACCCTAGGAGGGAGGGGTGATTAGTATACAATCATCATGTTCAACTGACAGATAGGAGAAAACCAAGGCACAGAAAGGTTATGTGACTTATCCGAGGTCACACAGCTGGTGTGTGGAGAAGCCAGGATTTACACCTGCACAGCCTGGCTCTAGAAGCCATGCTCCCTCCAGGCCTCAGGACCCAGGAGCTCGGGGCCCCTGCCGCCCTCGGCCGTGGGGAGGGGGCGGGGCAACACCGCTCAAAGCCCAGTCCAGGGAGGAGGAAGCAGGCCTGGCAACAACAGGCAGCTCACTCTCGGGCATGCACTGTGTGCGCGAAGCCTGTGAGCCCTGAGCATCTGCGTCAGCCCTGGGGATCCCCCACCTACAGCCCCGCCTCTCTGCCAACACCTCCCACCCGGGGGGACACTGATCCGGGGCCCTGAGGAGGAGTGGTTGCCTGGTGACAGCATGGTCAGGAGGGGAACAAGATGCATGCACAAGCATCGCTTTTTAGAAAAGAAAGCCGCAGAGCCCTGATCCGTGTGGCTCGGCTGGTTGGGCGTAGGTCCGCAGAGCACAGGGCTGCTGGTCTGATCCAGGGATGCTGGTCGGAGCAGACGCCTCGGTTTCGGGTTCTGTCCCCAGCGGGGGTGAGGCCCAGAAGCAACCAGTCAATGCTTCTCTCCCGCATCAGCGGGCCTCCCCCTCTCTTTCTCCTTCCTCTCCCCTCTCTCTTTAAAAGAGTACATGAATAAAACCTTTTTAAAAATCTGAATTAAAAAAGAACTAGGAACTCTACTTTAAAAAAAGAAACAGAAAAAAGAAAGCCGGAGACTCAGTCAGAGCCGGAGAGACCCCGAGAGGGACGGGCGGGACGAGAGCAGAGGCCAAAGGAGCCGACTCCGCCGACAGTCTGGAACCAGACAGCGCGGAAATGGGTCTTCTCCTGAGCTCTCCTGCAAACGCACTTCAAAGGCACTGAATGCAGGAGTCAGAGGTCAGACGGAGAGAAGGAGACTGCACTCAGCTCTAATGCAGCCGAGGGAGGGGGAGGGCGGGGCACACAGAGACTGGAAATCCCCTGGTGGAAGGGCAATCGGAAATTCCATTTGGGTTTTCGGAGAGAGGCCAGGCATTCGTTTGGGGGGCAGGGATGACTGAGGAAGAGAAGGAAAGAGAGAAGGCTCCAGATGGAGAGAAGAGAGGAACGGAATGAGACAGGAGGCAGAAATAAAGATAACAGAGATAAAGGACACTGAGGGTGAGAAGAAAGGAGGGAGGAGCAAATGCAAATCACAAGATCCCAGGTGTCCCCCAACACACTACTCAAAAGGCCACACATGGCCCTGGCTGGTGTGGCTCAGTGGGTTGGGTGCCGGCCTGTGAACCGCGGGTCACCGGTTCTGTCCCTGGTCGGGGCAGGGGCGTGTGCCTGGGTTACGGATGGGGTCCCTGATTGGGAGTGTGTAGGAGGCAGCCAATTAATGTTTCTCTCCCTCTCTTTCTCTCACTTCCCCTCTCTCTAAAAATAAATAAAATCTCTTTTTTATATATATAAAAAAACAAGGCCGCATACACACACACAAGCGCTCACGCTCACATACACACTCACGACTTAGAGACCTGGGCTCTAGAGTTGACTCTGCTCCGGGAATGCTTTGTGACCTTGGGGAAGACCAGCCTCCCTCTGGGCCTCAGCATCAGTGAGGTTAAGCGGGTTCCAGGAAGGCCAGGGCATGTGGGCAACAGGGTCTAGGAAGGCAAAACCTCACCGGGATGTTTCCCTCACATGGCAGAGGGCCCCAGCTGGGCAGGCACTGAGGGCGACCTCAGGAAGGGCCTCGGGCCGCAGGGACGCAGCGCTCCCTCTCCAGAGGAGGAAACAGGCTGCAGGTGGCAAAGCAGCTCACTCAACACAATGCAGCCAGGACAGGAGCCCCCCCCACCACCACCACCACTGGGAGACCCCATGACGCACCCTCTGCCAGCAGAGCAGGGGGGAGCTGCCTTTCCTGAGCCTGTCCCATCAGAGGCTCAGGACAGGTCTGGCTGGCACTTCTTAGGCGCCCAAATGTGGGCACCTGGTTCTTGTCCAGAGTGGGAGTGAACACATCTGCAACACCAGCGCCAACAGTGGCCGGGCGCTGACTCATCCACTGCCTGTTCTAGGTGCTTCACGCTCTTAATTTACTGGCTCCTCACACGCACCTTGTTCCGAAGCTGAGCCCCATTAAACAGAGGAGGAAACTGAGGCACTCCCTGTTTAGGGATTGCCTAAGGTCACAGAGCCCCCTGCAGCCTCCCCAACCGTGAGTGCCCAGCCGCGCCTCCCACCCCCCACCCCCTGCTCGCACACCTTTTGAAAAGGAGGTCTCATCGCGCCTTGGGCAGCCCAGCCTGCCAGCTCTGCCCCAGCTTCCCACCCACTCCTCAGGCCCAGCAAGGGTGTGTAGCCCGGTCTTGGAAAGCTGCGGAGTAGGGGCAGCAGGAAGCCAGGGCCACGCGGGGATGGCTGCAAAGAGTCAGCTGAGGCCCCGAGGTGTCCCGACCCCGCACTCCTGTCTGGACACACCAACCGGCCCGCAGCACACGGCATCGGGGAGTCGCGCAGCGCGAGAAAGATGATCTGCGGCGACACCTCGTGGCCAAAAAGGCCTCCTGGCCCCAGGCGCCCCTGTTCCCTGGGACAGTGAAATGCAAAGAATTCCTCCGCTGGGGACCGCGTGCTGACCGCCCCAGGTGGGGAGGAGGAAGCTTGTCGTTTGCACCCCCCGCCCTCCGGGAGGGACAGACTCACGCATCCCACAACCACCTGGCATCTTTCCCCGAGCCCACAACGTCCCGACCTCATCGAACACACGCAACCTTCATCTAACGCGTGCATTTATGAAACACTCACATATGCCAAGCCCTGTTCCAGGGGCTAGAGATACAAAGATGAGCAAAGCGCAGATGCCTGCCCCTGTGGAGCTTGAGGTGGGGCTAGTGGGGAAACGCAATAACCAGCAAACATAAGAAATAAAATAATCCGGCTATTTTAGAAGCAGGAAAAAAAACAGTGACAATTCACGTGCGCGCGGGCGCGCGCACACAGCCCTTAGGGCAAACTCACAAAATCAGACGCCAATCAGACCATCCTGCCCTCTCGGTTCCTCTGGGGACTCTCCTGTCTCAGGGGGTGTCACCTCATCACAGGGTCCTCCTGCCCAGTACTCTCCCCTGTCACATAGCTCCTCTTCTCTGGAGGTCTCCTGACCCCAGGCTGGCTGGGCCCCACCCAGGGCACAAATGCTCAGGCCAGGCTGCCTGGCTGCCTTGCTTGCCAGCTCCCATACCACCTGTGTGACCCGGTCAGGTTCCTTGCCGTCTCTGTTTCCTCATCTGTTAAAAGGGAAAAAATAGTAGTTCCCACTTCAGAATCATGGGGGAGGGAGGGACGCAGTTAACGAGCGCAAAAACACTTCTAATAGCATCTTGACATAGTTTTGTTATTATTAACGTCTGTTTAGGTGTTTCCCTCCTGGCCGAGTTGATGGAGGTTAGACAGTGAGCTCATCCAGGAAGGACCAGCTGAGTCATCACTGCGTCCCCTGCTCCAGAGTCGGGTTTACGGAAGGCTCTCGGAACGTGTTTGCTCGGTACATTCGGTGGTTCCTTCTCTCGCCACTTACGGAGTGCCTCCTGCACGCCAGGTAGTACTGAGAAGTGAGGGAAGTTTCTATCCACTGAAGGAAGAGTAATTTCTAGGCCATGAGTTCTCAAATTTTTTTGGTCTAAAAACCTCTTTACACTAAAAAGAAAAAAAAATCAGGATACCAAAGAGCTTTTGTATATGTAAATATCTATAGCTATTTGCCATATTAGAAACTAAAACTGAGAAAACTTTTGAATACTTACTAATCCTTTAAAATAACCACCTCATTGCATGTTAACATTTTTATGAAAGTAGTTGTCTTTTCCAAAACAAAATAAAATAGTGTGAAAACATATTTTTTGCATTTTCTCAAATGTCTTCAATGTCTTGGCTTAATGAAAACTGAATTCTCGTGCCGCACTCGATCTGTGCGAGATGTTGCTTTGGTTCGCGTATATGAAAAAAAGAAATCCAGCTCAACATTCTTCTTCGTAAAAATTGAGAATACTAACACCCCGCCGTGTCCCCGGCTTCGCTTACTACCGAGCAACCAGACAAGACAGGTCTGACCGACCAAGGTAGACTAGTCGTGTGTGGTTTCCGGGAGAAGGCGTGGCCTGGCGTGCAAAGGAGCGGCTGGGCTGGGATTGGACGGCAAATGCGTCCTTCTGCGCATTGCCCCCGCCCCGACTCCCGCCCCTCCTCCCTCCTGAGTAAACCCGGTAACCCAACGCCTGCGTCTTAGCGAAGGTGGTCACTTCCGCCTGCCCACTTCGGGACTTTCCGTTCCCGCTCGGGTTTCCGCCGAGACGACTCGAGCGCCGAGACGGAAGTAGCCTGAGCGTGTGGGCGGGGCTAAGTGCAACAATGTCCGCCGCCTTGCTGCGGCGGGGCCTGGAGCTGCTGGGGGCCCCCGAGGGTGAGGAGATCCTGCGCGGAGGCTGCGGGCGCGGGCAGGGGGCGGCTGGGGCTAAGGGCGGGATTCCGGAGGGTGCGGAACGATCCAGTCAGGGCTTATCCTGGGTGGGATGGTACCCGGCTCTCCCTCCGACCCAGGTCCGTCCCTCTCTCTTCCACTATAGCCCCCCAGGCCGCGCCAAGCCAGGCCAAGCCGAACGGGGCTCCGGTGAAGCGGGCCCGTAAGGCGAAGGCGACCCAGGCTGGGAAACTGCGGAATTCGGCCAAGGGAAAAGTGCCCAAGTCGGCGTTGGGTAAGCTCAGGAAGGGGGCTGGCCGTGCTGCCCCCAGGGTCGGGATCTGCAGCCCGGAGGAAGAGGCACTTGAGGCAGGGCTTAAAACGTTCGCCAGGCATTTCTAGAATACCTACTGGGTGTCATGCACCGAGTGGAGTCCCGGTAACACGGAGTGAGCGAAACACATCGTCCCAGTTCTCGTAGTGTGCAGCCGTACTGGGGGGAGAGGCATTAAAGAGCTTCAGGATCAGCCCTGGGTGGTGTGGCTCAGTGGACTGAGTGCCGGCCTACAAACTGCAAGGTTCCCGGTTCAATTCCCAGTCAGGGCACATACCTGGGTTGTGGCCCAGGTCCCCAGCTGGAGACACGCGATATTTCTCTCCCTTTCTTTCCTCTTCCCTTCTCCTCTTTCTAAAAATAAGATCTTTAAAAAAATTTTTTTAAATAAGGAGCTTAAAAATCAGCTAAGTTTGATGAGGGCTTTGAAGACGACCTGTGCTCTGAGAGGGAATTCAGATAAAAAGCCAAATCAGACTTCTCCGAGGGAACGACATTTAAGTCCAGAGCTGAAGGAAGCATAGAGCGAACCACAGGGGCCCGTATCCTAGAGAGGAGAGCCTATGCAGAGTCCAGAAGTTTCAAGTGACTGAAAATTTGAAAGGAAGAAGCCCAGTAAAGGTGACATGTAGGGAACAAGGGTCAGAGATGGAGCATTTAATAGTTAATAGTCTGAGCCCGGAGCTGTTCTAAACACTGTGGATGTTCACTCATTTAACCCCTCACGGCAGCCTTGAGGGCGGTGCAGGTGGCAGCCATGCAGCGTGTCTGCAGAGCCCTGCTCTCACCTATTCTGTGCAAGTGGGAGGTGCTGTGACCGGGGCAGGGGTGAGGGTGCAGGGATGAGAGAACTGCAGGGGGAAGACGGAGGGGGTGTGGGGCGTTGATGGGCTGCAGTGGTGAACTGGCTATGAGAATGGGGGAAGAGGGAGGCACGGAGAGCAGAGCCCAGTCTCTAAAGAGCACCGTGAGGGATGCGGTGCCACTTAAGGAGGGGCAGGATGGTGGGAGGATACGTGGCAGGAGTCGGTGAGCTCCTAGAGTGTCTTCGAACCCCAGGACCTGGTGGGTAAGCAGTGCTCAGGCATCTGTTAAAGAGGACTGCGAGTTCCCAGGAGGAAACAGCCCGAGCAGAAGTGCGGAGGCAGAGAAGTGAGGCCATTGGAGCAGGCGATGTGGGTGTGCAGAGCACGGGACGCCAGAGGTGCCCTCGTCCAGCCCAGACCTGGTCCCATAATGGCTACCTCCTTGATGAGGGAGGGGACCCTCAAGCCTCAGTGGCCAATCTCAAGGACACCGCTGTGGCAGCCACCTCTGTAAACTAGACACCACCTCTTGCCTGGATGGTTGTGAAAGCCTCCCAGCTGGTCTCTCACCTTCCACCACCCCCACCACCTGCCACCACCTGCCCAATCTTGTTTTCAGCACAGCAGCCGATGGGACCCTATAAAATCCCATCGAACCCCTCTCTTCTCTGCCCCGCACCCTCCTGTGAAGCCCAGGTTCTCACAGCTCCTGATGAGGCCCCACATGTCTTTCCCCTTCTGCTGTCTCCTCTCCCCTTCCGGCCACTTTCTGTTCTTCAGATGGCATTAAGTCACAGCTCGCTCCAGGGCCTTTGCACAGGCTGTTCCCTATATCTAGAATGCCCTTCCCCCAGACAGGACACTCTCCCTTGAGTCTTTGCTCAGACGTCATTTCACTGAGGCTTTCCCAGACCCTCAGGTTTAGAACTGCAACCCTCTGGCCTTGGCATTCCTCATCCCCACTTACTGCAAAACATGCCGCCCTCTACACACTGTTCGCCACCTCTCCCCCCGCTGGCAGGTGAGCCCCATGAGAGCAGTGTTTGCCTGTGGGTTTCCTGCTGCAGGCTCAGCATCTATACCAGTGCCTGACACACAGTAAGCACTGAGGACATGCTTGTTGAGTAAGTCCCTTGAGCCTCAGGGAGCCAAGGGGCACTTTCAGCAGGATCCGTGTGGAGAGGCCAGGCTATCGCAGTAATGGAGGGAAGGGGACAAGGCCTTCGGCGGGGCTGTGGAGGGTGGGGGTGGTGTGGGTCAGGGAGCTGTCATGAGGAGACACAGAAGGCTTCCAGGGAGTGACTCAGAAATGACGCCACCTTGCCTACCCTCCACAGCCGAGTTCCAGAAGCGAGAGTGTCGGGGCTACCTTGGAGTGAACCTCAAGTTTATGACCAGTGCCAGGAGCACCGTGCCTGAGTCCGTCACCCAGCAGGTCTGTCGGGGACGGCTGTGAGGAGCAGCCTGGGTGTGGGGTGAAGGCTGGGCCACCCCCAGGCTCCTGCCTCGCTGTGCTGTGAGGGCTGTCCCCCGAAGGGCTGGGGGCAGGGCAGAGGAGGTGGGAGGCTGGGCCAGGCCCTGTCCCGAGTGGCAAGTGTGCAAACCAGATGAGGGGCAGCACTTGGCCGGCTGTGCCAGGGTGTGCGGCTTCCTCGTGTCCTGACTCCCACGCGCCTCCAGATCGTGCGCCAGAACCGGGGCCGCAAGGCCTGTGACCGGCCTGTGGCCAAAAAGAAGAAGAAGAAGGCTGAGGGCACCGTGTTCACTGAGGAAGACTTCCAGAAGTTCCAGCAGGAATACTTCGGCAGCTAGCCTCCCGGAGGGCTCGGCGGCAGAGGCACTCAGGCCCGGCGTCCCCCTCTGGCCTCACAGCCACTGCTGGCCCTGGGACCCGCTGCACACAGCGGGGGCCAGGGTGACGCAAGGAAGCCCCGGAGCTGAAGCCAGGGGCAGGCTGGCGAGCGGCTGGGGAGCTGGAAGCCTGGGGGAGGACTCCTACTCAGAAGGGGCTGGAACCCGCAGGCCTGGGAGGAGCGATCTCCCCACCGGAAGGAAACGTTTCTGACTGTTCTGTTTGCTTTGGCCGCAGGAGGGCTTCTTGGCTGTTTGCCGTGCAGAGGCCAGTTCCCGGGGCCTCGGGGCCACACCTCTAGGGTGGGGGGTGGCTGCTGGGTCCGCTTCAGGGTTCTAATAAATGTGGGCCCAAGACCTGTGTGTGTGCTGCTGCCTGACTTGCGGGTATTTGTTGTCTTCTGTGGCTCAAAGGGGCCTTCCCAGCCTTCCCCGCCTCCCAGCGTGGTTCTTAGAACCCCAGCTCGGGAGTCCTCCAATCCAGCCCCAGCACAGGCGGCCGCCTGGAGAGGTCACCTAGCATCTGCTGACACAGCCCAGAGGGGCGCCCGCCCCACGGGTGGCGGCCACAGCTGCCAGAGGCTTTGCTCCGTGGACCCTGCTTCAGGATCCGGGGAAAGGGGTGCTGCCAGCCCGGTGCCCAGCAGGTCTGTCAGGGTCGGCTGTGAGGAGGGGCCTGCGTGTGGGGTGAAGGCTGGGCCACCCCCCAGGTCCCTACCTTGCTGTGCTGTGAGGGCTCTCCCCCGAATGGTGAGGGGCAGAGCAGAGGAGGTGAGCACGGGTGCGGGGCATGTGTCAGAGGCCGCCTGTTTTCCTCCTAACTCTAACAGGAATTCGGGGAGTGGTGGGGTGACCCAGGAAGTGATTTCCAGAAACAAGGGTTCACACTCAGGTCTGTGCCCCCGCGCAGAAAGGCAGTGAGAGCTGGGGGCTGGGGCTGGGCCCCTTCCAGCCAGTACGGTGCCTGGCACAAACACGTGTTGATCAAATGCACGAGGTTTAGTGTGAAGGAGCCGAGTCCTAAAAGCCAGCGCCCCTTGGAGGGGTGGGGGGCTCCTGGAGAGGAGGGTCCTGGACACCTTTGGGCAGCTCTCCTCCTCCCTGCCACCAAAGGGCTCCATAGGCCATGGCCTTGTCTGGTAGAGGACTTCTGGAAGGTCCCTGTGGCTGGAGCAGCTGGAGAGTGAGTCTGCCAGCACCACAGCAGGTCCTTGTGTGCCGGGGGGAGGGGCTTCCACTGCCTCACCCACTGCCCTGGATGCCGTGCCTGGCCATTGGCCCGCTTTCCTTCCTTCCTGAGGGCAGGTGCAGCCAGAGCTGCTTGCGCAGAGCTGGATCTGACCCTGTCTGCAGGTGGCCCACCTGAGCAGCAGGAAGCAGGCCGCCCAGGCAGTCAGGGCAGCAGAAGAGGGTGCTGTGATTTGCTATTGTCCCACCTTCCTCAGATGTGCTGGCCCCAAAAAGGGAGTGGCTGGTATTATGCCTCAAATTCACACCCCTCCTTTCAGCCGAGCCTTAATGAGCCTGGTGGGGAGGCCATGAACCTGGGTGTCCTTGGCGACTTTCCCTTCCTCTCAAGCAGCTTAGCAAGCTGGCCCAGCTACTGGCCCCAGAAGTTTGTCAGAACAGGCTGACCAGCCACTGAGTTTGAGGGCCCTTTCTAACAAGGACACGTGCTGTTACCCTATCACTAGATTCCTGACCCCTCCCAGGGGCAGTGACAGCTGCCTCCTGGGGGAGGGCCAGAGTGGGGTGGCGTCCACATCCCCTTTGTGTGACTAACATCAGTTGTGTCCACCTGAGGTTATGGTCTAACGGGTCAGGAGGGACTTGGGGGGGTCTGTGTTTTAAGTCTCCTGAATGAGTCTGGTGCAGGCTCTGAAGGAGGGACAGTGAGTCACCACGTGGAAGGCAGTGGGGCAGATGCAGGTGCTGGCCATGAGTCCCAGGGCCTGGCCACTGAAGATCTGGAAGGAACACGGCCCATACGAGGACACTGCGTTTATGCACTGGAGGCGGCAGCCTGCCCCAGTGGAGACAGGGTGACGGATGTGAAGTGCCTGGGAGCACATGTCCCAGGTGGTTTGGGACAACTGAGACTAAGGGCAGGCATGTAGCTGAGGTGACCCTGTTTAGGCCGGTAAATCCCTATGAATTGAAGCTGCTTTGATGGGGTGATCGAGTTGAATTCAACTTCGGTATCTGGATGTGAGTTGAACTTCGGTATCTGGATGTGTGGCTCCCCTGCCTTGAGTGAGGGTCAGGGCCTTGTGGATCATTTTCCTGAATAGGTAAGACCTCAAAGATCACCAAGTCCACCTGGCTGGTGTGGCTCAGTGGATTGAGTGCCAGCCTGTGAACTAGAAGGTCACCAGCTCAATTCCCAGTCAGGGCACATGCAGGCCAGGTCCCCAGTAGGGGTGTGTGAGAGGCAACCACACATTGCTGTCTTTCTCCCTTCCCCTTAAAATTAAAAAAAAAACAACAACAAACACACACACCCATTTCAGCCCACCTGTGATTCACCACCCCCTCCAAGTGGGCTAGTTTCTCAGTTTCCAAGCCCTTCAAGAAAAAGGAACACCTGAGTTCACCACTCCGCTCGTAAGCCCCCTCCCCTTGTGAGGTGTCAGGTCACCTCACCTGGTTAGACTGGATCAGTGCCTAACCACCATGAGGGACATCCTCATCCCAGCCAGGCTCCAAGGTACCTAATTGACCTTTGTGGATAGGGAACAGGTCTGCCCCAGGAAATGAAGGGACCTCGCCAGCACGGGCCCAAGACAAAAAGAAACATCTACCTTATCCTACACTAAGCCAATCCAGTCCAAAGACCAGGGTCACAACAAGCAGCTCAAGTGGTTTCCCCTTGCTGCTGCTTCGCACCATGTCTAGGGAGGGCTAGCTGGGGGCCCAACCGCACAGTTCCTGCCAGGAAGTAACAAGACTGCAGGACTTTCTTAAGGTTTCTTCCGGCAGAAACCAAGAGCTGTTTTTCTCTGAATGACGAGTTCTAGGAAGAGGCATCTACAGAAAAATAAAAACTAGAAGTAACATCTAACCACCAGTGCACCCAGGGACTTCCATGACAGCTGCTGGCGAAGAGCCCAACTGAGGAACAAGCGGAACCTGGCTGCTCCTCCCTAACCAAGGGCTAACCTAAGCCCAACTCAGATGTGGGGAAACCACCCAGGAGCCTGCCGTGGGGGCTCTAGCCTGGCCTTTCCAGCGTAAGTCCCCACCAATCCTGCCCTATGGCACACAGGGCCTGGCACCTCTCTGGGACCCACCTGAAGCACGCCGAGTGCTCTTCCCCGGCCCCCCATGAAGAATCTAGTTCCAAGCTCCTCACTAGATCAGACGCAGGTCTGCACAGCACTTTCACTACAAAATAATTTATTACAACAGCTCCAGCACAAGCCTCCTATATACAAGCACACGCTACCCTACCTAGGGGGCCCTTTTCTTTCCCCTCGCCTTGCGCACCTCTTCTATCAGATCTTTCAGATACTGGATCTCCTTGGCCAAGGAGTCTGCCTTCTCTTTCAGAACTTCGTTTTTCTTTTCCAGCTCTTTACATTCCCCCGTGAGGGCCTCCTGCTCTGCCCTCTTCTTCTGGCGGTACCTAGTGGCTGCAGTCTTGTTCTGCTGCATCTTTTTCAGCTTTTTATCTAGTTTTTCACCCTTGACTTTCGCTGCCACCACCTTCTCCCCAGGAGGGTCATAGGGTTTGGGGCGCACAGAGCCACAGACGGCGTCTGAGGACAGCAAACTACTTGGGGAGGCCCCAGGGGCAGAGGGACTGTGCTGCGGGGAGCCCCGATCCGACTCGGGGCTCATGCATATGCCGCTGTCGTTGTCTGAGGCAGCTTCCTCCTCCTTTACACACTGAGGGATTATGATAATGTAGGCGGGGGAGTCTGACTTCCTGTCTCCTTCAGAGATGTCGACCTCGCTGCCTAGCTCTAAACTGAAAGAATGGTCCAAAGTGGACGACAGGGCCACCGGGGAAAGGGGACGAGGTTGCAGTACAGTAAAGGAAGCAACCTGGTCAGTTTTTGGTAAGCTTTCTGGAAGATGGCCAATTGGGTTCACTGTCTGGGGGGGCTCCTTATTAATCTCCTGGTTTAAGGGGTCAAGGAGACCACACGAGTCTTCCAACGTGGCCCAAAACTCATCCGGTGTCATTTCCAGGTCATCTAAACCTAACAAGGCATCAAAATCAAACTCGTTGAGATCCATTTTCTCCACCATCCAATCTGTCCCGGAGAAGGCATCCTCTGCAAAAGATTGGAAAGCATGAAATAAAATCAGCCAGATGCACAAGGCAACAAGTTCCTACGACGAGGTCTCACCGGAAAGGGAAGGACGGGCACTCACCCTTGCCGCTGTCTGAGGCACCGACCAACCCATCCACAGCCAGCCATTCGGAGGAGCCCGCCTTAGCCTTGTCGCTGGAGAACCCATGAGGTTTAAAGTGCTTGGCCACCTCCAGGGAGTCGTCTAAGAGACCTAGGCTTTCTTCAGCCCCCAAGCCCGACTGGTCGAAGGGGGACACGAAGTCCCCCACCAACACCTCGCTGCTCAGGAAACTCATCTCGGTCATGTTGTGGGGCTTTGCTGGAATCGAGGGATGTGCTTAATTCGAAGGTGTCTTTGTCGGTTACAGCAATGCTGCTGCTGAATGCCGTGAGAAGCCTGAATAGGAACCAGAAACCAAGTCCCATTAGCGACCCGTTGGCCAGGGGATTTCATCTTTCTACTCCCGAGGCGGGACGGGCAAACTCTCCTTCCCCGTACAGAATCGGACACACGTGGCCCCAGAGCCACTGTGCCGACCTTGCCAGTTCCCTGGTCGGGCCGCTCAAGATGGACGCCCTCCGAGCTCGGCCATTCCCCAACCGGCCGCAAGAGGAAGGCGCCGCTTCCTCATGCCCAAATACGGCCTCGGCCGCGCTGCCTCGCCCCCGCCCTCGGTGACTCACACCGCGCCGGCCGCCGCCCTGCCGCCATCTTGGGTGCTGCCACGTTTCGCGGGGCGCCAGGCGGGACTCCCGCGGGCTGGGCAGCAGGCCACCGGAGGCTTCTCCCCCTAGGGCCAGGCCGCTCTCCCAACGAAGACCTAGCGTCTCCGGAACACCCAAACAGCAGCCACGCGTGCCCGAGCGCTCGTAAAACAGCTTCCCCCTCCGCGACACCGCCAGGCCGCAGGCCGCACCCGATTAGGTCGTAAGCCCTAGCCGACCCAGGGGTGCACGGCCAGAGCGGTCCGACCCCGTACTTACGCCATGGCTTAAGCCGCTGGGGGGTGCCGCCGCAGAGCCTGGTGCTGCTGCTGCCGCTGCAAAGGCCAATGCTGCCGCAGGCACTGCTGCCTCTAATGCGCCATGGCGGCCGCGGACTTGCGGGAACGGAGGAGGGGAAAGCACACGCTCGCACAAGCACTCTACATCTGGGAACGGAAGGAAAAGAAATGGCCGTAGCAGCTTCACCACAGGTCTTTTATAAGCTTCCCTATGGGACGCATCACAGGGGAAATCCTTCCGCCGAGGCCACGTGACCTCCAACACCCACCCATTTGTTTTCATCTGTCAACACCCTACTATTTCCAGCCAATGACTTTTTCGTTCCGGGCGTAACTCTAAAGAGAGAATGAGTTATTTTCAAGGCCTCCAGAAAGGAAAGACGCACTACATTACAAGGCTTCTACGATCAAAGAGTCACATTTCCCTATGCCTCTAGAGAGCGCGGAAGGATCCACCGGACACTCCTCTTTCCGGTGTTCGCTGAAGGGCAGGGGAGCAGCTTCTCCCTCCAAGAAATATTTCCATTGTGAAGTCCAAGACCTCCTTATTATCGCGCGAGATGCCAGCGGAGAGCGCTGATTGGTCAGACATGATGAGTCACCTATATCTCGAGTTTGTATTGGCTCGGGCCCTGAGGTGGGTGGGCTGTTCAGTGATGCGGCCCGAGGTCCGAGAGGGAAGGGGTGGGTCTGGGGATGCGTTTCCAGCGAACTTCTGTGTCGTCTGCCTGTTCCTTTGGGTGGCACCCCTCTACAGTGCCTTCCGCTGTGCGGCCCGCAGCTGGCCTAGATGGGCTCTAACCCAGTGAGTCCCAAATAGTGGCGTTAGACCCCAGCCCCTGCGGTCGCTAGTTGCCCCCTCTTCCTGTAACTAGGGACCAGGTTGCAGCTGGAAGAGGAAACTGGGCAAAAGGAAATGTGTGCGATTTCACCACATGGAAGCCCTTCAGTCGCTGAAACGGGAGAAGGACTTCAAGCGGAAGGTCACCTGAGCCATGCCCACGTACCAACAAAGGCCAGCTCTCCGTCCTTACTCAACTCTGTACAGTTGAGACGGGAAGATGCATAATCCTGTAACCCAACCTATTATATTCTTACATGCCCATTCTACTAAAATGTTAGTCTGTTAAAATATGCAGTCAATCACAGGGGAACTGCTTTTGGTTTATGTCAGTTCAGTTTCTCTAAGAACATGGAGATGTTATTCAACTGGGACCTTTCACTTGAGAGTAATGTCCGCCAGCTACCAATTCTGTACCTGTCCCAGGCATCCACTTCCTAGCAAGGCCTCCTAATTAATAGCCCTTCGAGATTAGAACCCAGACCCAGTGGCGGGGGTTCCTGTGTTGGAAGCAGCTGTCCGGGTCAGGGACAACTTGCTCTCTGTTGGGGAGTTAAGAGTGCTGAGAGCCCTGGTCTGGTAGCTTGGCTGGCTAGAGCATCCTCCATGTGTGCCAAGGTTGCGGGTTCGATCTCCAGGCAGAACACGTACAAGAAGCAACCAGTGAATGCTTAAATAAATGGAACAACGACCCGCTGTTTCTCTCTCCCCTCTCCCTTCTCCCCCAAATCAATGTTTCCTTTAAAAAAGTGCTGAGAAAGCTGTGCGCCATCCGTCACCCCCCTCCACAGTCAGGCCCTGTAAGGACAGACACTCCTTCCATTCTGTCTCCATTCACTTCAGTGGGTCGTACAAATATTACGAGGGCTGGGCTGTGCTGTCGAAACATTTGGGAAGCACTGTCCCAGGTACCTGGCAACATTCGCTGGCTCCATCCAGCGTGATTTCTTCACAGCGGTGAACAGAGGTCTGACAGGGTGAGGTGTCTGCTAAGTCAGAGCTCCCAGTGAGGACAGCACGGGGCCGGGATTAAAAGATAGATTTTAGGGGCAAACCCAAAAGAATCCCGGCTCTCCCATTTGTTAGCTGACAAGTTTTGGTTAAGTAACTTATTCTTGCTGAGCCTCAGTTTACTCATCTGTCAAATGATGTAAAAGTGATGAGTAGTATCCTTATCCTTAGGATGGAGTAAAATGACTGATGTGTGAAGCGCTGAGCAAAGCGCCTGGCACCTGGTAAGTGCTCAGTAAGTGATTACGGTTAGAACTCAGGTCTCCTGACCCTGGCCCCGCCCCGTACCCCCTCCTCATCCTCGAGTACATCATCCTGCTTCCTCGGAGGATCCCTACTACTTACTGAGATGACGCCAACAGCACTAAACCACCGGTACACGCAAAGCATACTGGGTGCTGGGACGTGTGGAGTTTCTCTCCCCGTGAGGAGTCACAAGCATGGAGACGTGCAGAAGCCGCCCACTGCTCGGTTTTCCCGGGGCATGACCGAGGCCCCGTGCGGCATGCCCTCTTTTTGCTGGATCAGGAGACTTGTCAGTGCCTCCTGAGGGACGACCACGCAGGTGGTTGAGAATTAAAGAAAGTAACACTGCCCCAGTTTTGACACTGCAGAGGTCGTGCAAGGATGACTTCAGTGGCAGTCTGTCCCATCCATTCTATTATGCAGACCCAGATCAAGCACGCCAGTGTTCTTGCTGAAATGAGGAGTCAGTACACTCCCGTGGGAAAAGGTTTCATACCACACACAAAAGTCAAAGTTTTTGGAAAGGAGGCTTTTATTTTATTCTCCCCATGCCGTGGGAGGACACTGTGTTCCCCAGCTGTTTCCTCCCCCAAGGAGAAAAAGGACAGCAGTTCTCCGGGTCTCAGGGCTGAGCTGCTTCTAGATGGAGCTCCCCAAGACAGGACAGAAGGACTGGGACTGGCTCCAAATCTGCCAGCCAAACACACTAACCGCTGCTGAAGAGCAGGCGAGTGGCCGGGAGACAAGCTGCGGACGCGGCATCGGACCGAGAATTTGAAGACTACACGGTGGTCAGAATGAAGAGGTAACAGCACTCTGTATCCGTTCACTCCAGAACCCCCGTGCCTGGCACTTTGGGCACTCAGAGTCAGCAGTGTCTAAAAGGGCGACGGCCTCACAGCTCTAGTCCCACGCATCTCTTTGGCCTTGAGCTTCAGCAGGAAGGGCAGAGCTCTAATGCATCCTGTGGCAGCAGACGTTCTCAGCCAGGGTCCCGGTCTCACGGAGACGGACTGCAGCAGGGGGCTCAGGACACATGCAGGGATCCCTCCTTACAGAAACCCCCTGGGGCCTCTCCAGGGCCTTCACATCCTGAGGCTGCTTCCCAGCAACACCATTTTCGCTCTCAACGCCGGTGGAGCACAGGGGGGCAAACCCAGCTAATCGGGAGTGTCCACCAGTGGATGATACCAGGGGCCGAGACCCAGGAAGAAAGACTGTAGGCCTCGACACAGCTTTTCCAAACATGAGCTTCAATTATTTATTTGAAAAAAATAAGTCACAACCAAGTGTATAAAGAAAAATACTGGTGTCCTAAACTCATTTTTTTAAGGAAGGAAAAAAAAATAACTTTGGAATTGATTCAAATGTCAAGATGGGGCGTATTTTTTTAAGCAGTGGGCTAACTGTGTGGTTTGCTAGCCTAGATGGTGTGGGGAAAAACCCTCAGACGGAGAAGTGGGACCAGATGCTATGACGTCAGAAAAGGCGGGAGTTACTGAGCAGAAACACAGAGTGGCAGGGAAGGCACCACATCCTTCCCCAAAGATTAAAGGTGGAGGGGACAGGACGCTCCCTCTTCCTCCCGAGAACCTGAGGACCCTGACTGTCCTCCGTGCTTTATGGTGAGGCTCGCTGAGTTGGCCGGCAAAGCCTCCAGGACAGGGGTTCCGCTGCTTCCCGTTCTGAGGACTTCTACGAGGTTCGTGCTTGTGCAATGGCAACGTTACGGATTTTGGTTTTTGTGAAACATAGTTCAGAGACAGAGAAAGGTGCTCTTTAAGAGAGGAGATAAACTCAAATCACAATCACACTCAGCTTTGATAATCTGGGACTTGATCTTTAAAATCTTTTTTGAGCTTGGGAAAACTGTCGGTTCTGCACGAGACCAGGAAAAGCAAGCCCGCTGTCTCCGTGCATGACCTGGGCTTCGGCAATGCCGTCTCAGCCCGCCCGTCTCCTGGACGCCACGCCAGGCACTCGCCCAGGGCGGCACCGGGGCGTACGGAGTTTCTGAAACTCCAATTTGATTCTGATGACCAGCCAGGCTAGATAATCTTTTTCCAGGTTCCGGGCTTTATACTTCTCATTCTCTCCCAACAGCCTCATACAAACGAAACCTCAACTGCTTTAAGGAACCCTTACTACAGTAAGAGGCAGGAAGATTCTCCAAATATAGCCAAGGTTAACCCCAGTTCTGAACCCCCCAATCCATGGCAGAAAGGGAACAGGAATCCCTACCCTAAACTCAGAGGGGCGCCACTGAGCCACTTCACGGTGTGGTCGCCAGGAAGGAACAAGACAGCTGCAGAGCGCTTCCCCAGCATCGCTGATTGGAGAGGTAGTAGGAACAGAAAAACACACCACCACTTCCTGGGAGCTGAACAAAATACTGGGTGGGCGGATCAGAAACAGAATCACCAGGCTCTTCTCACAAACAGGAAAACACACACAAAACAAGCAGCACTGGCATTGTGTATTAATCACTCCTCTCCCCACTCGGGACACTTTTTACATTGCGTCCCTTTTTACATTTAATAAATACTGCGATTTCAGCAGCTGCAAACAGGGAGCATAGGAGTCCCTACCTCCCTCTCGTGTGTGTTTTACCCGTGTGCACTCCTCCCAGGTAGCACCGATCTCCCCAGGTGCTGGGCAGAGGCAGGCCTGGGGGTGGGGGGAGCGGTCCGAGCACGTCTGCTGGCCTCTGGCTCTGGAGGTGCCTAGAGAGCTCACCAACGGCCCTCTCGCGTACCCACAGCCGATGGCCCGGCCTGTTCTCGCTCTGGCTCTAAGGCAACGTCCTACAAAGGCAGAGCCTGACGGGGGAGAGACGTGGCCGCTGAGCACCAGTTGGTGACTGGATCTTCCAGCTGCCGTTGTGCCGCCTGCCAGGCTCCCTCCGACCTCTGCCGCTAAGGCTGTGTTCTTGAAGGCCCCGCCCTGATTGGCAATCGGGGAGGAAGGGGTGAACGAGAGCGCTCGTGCAGGGGCGCTGCCCTTGCAGCTCCTTCCTCCCTGGTCTGCGCCTGACTCCCGCACACAGTGGCACCGGTCTGGACCGGGATGGGGCGCAGACGTCAGGCACACAGACCTCTCCCAGGCCCCCACCACCTCCAGCTCCCTGCTGATGGCACCAAGAAACACAACCTCCAAACACGTGGCATCCAGTTTTTCTTGGGCCCTCACTCCCATGTGGGCCACTAACAGTGTTCCCAGGAGAGACCTCCTCAGCACTACGGATGTGAGCAGGCCGGGACACTGGGGGAATGGGCTTCTTTGCCAGGAACCCAGGTCAAAGGCCGGCTCTTGCACTGCCTCACCGCCAGGTACCCTGAACACTGCTTGAGCACTCTCTGCAGAGTTCAGCTTGGAAATGTGCAATCATAACTTCGGTGACATTCAACTAAAGGCAACATCTGGATCAGGCAGGTGTGCTCCAGGGAAGAAACAAAACAGAAGGTGCAAACAGGAGGAAAAGGGAAAGGCAGAGGAGACACTGGCGAGAGACAGGCCAAAGGCCAAGGGCCAAGGGCAGGGCACCGGGAGCAGAACACCTGGGCCGCGTGCAGAACGCCAAGCGGCTCCAACAGCTCGGGCCGGTGCTCCATCTTCTCAATTCATTCCAGAAAATCGGCCTGGAGCAAGGGGGCACGGAGGAGTAGGGAGCACAGTGTTTGGTAACAAAAATAGAAAGGGCTGGGTTTGAGAAAATAGGAAATTAAGCGATGTCATTCTAATCAGCATGAAGTGACCAGGGCAAGACAGGAGGCACCTAGGGACCCCGCGCGGCACCAACCGCGTGGCCGAGAGCTTCTGACAGAGGATCCAGAGCCCGACCGCCCCACACCCACTCCGGCCTGCGCCTGCCCTACGTCTGCAGCAGCACCTCCGGCTCAGACAACGAGCAATAGAGAGTGTATCCCAATTCATCTATTTCTTCTGGGGTGAGCTCTGCGAATAAGTTCACCTTGGGGTTGAGGGCACTGGGCAGGACCCCGGCCTCCAGGTACCTGATGAGTCCCCGCAGGGCCTGCAGGAAGCGGTCGGCCAGCATGTCGGGAGACCAGTCGGCCTCCTCCTGGGCCAAGTGGAGGATGACATTGGTGAGCTGGCAGGCAGTGAGGTGGCCCAGAGCCGGAGTGGACTTGCATATGGCCTTGAGGATCTTGAGGCACAGACAGCGGCAGCCCGAGTCAGCCTGGTCCAGAGCCCGCAGGCGTGCTGTCTCGGCAGGACGCAGGCTCAGCCGCCACAGGTTGTCGTACTGGGCCAGCCGGTGCGGTCTGGCCACCAAGACGGTGTCGCCAAGGGTCACCGATGGCAGGAAGTCAATGACAAGATGTTTGTCCCGCTCATACTGCACTTCCAGGGTCAGGGCCTCTGGGGGCGGCGCCGGTCGGATCACATAGTCCAAGAGGGAGCCGATGGCCGGCCAGTTGATGGAGCCAGCCACGACCTTCTCAAACGTGTCCGCCACCGTCTTCGGGGAGAGGTAGCCCCCGACCACACAGCGGTCCCAGTAACTGCTGCCACGAGGAAAGTACTCCGGGTTCTCTCGGCGGACCAGGAAGAAGCCGGGGACGTTCATGATGGTGTCCTCCCCAGGAATGCACGACCACAGGTTCTGCTCCAGCACCAGGGGCACGATGAGCTGGATGTGGTCGGCCGTCACCACCTGTCGGAGAATCACAGAGGTCCTGAGGGACTGCATCTGCTCCGGACAGCAGCTTCCCCGAACACAGGTCTCCCCGGGAACCCATCTTGCACCCCCCCGGCATTCTTCCCTGTCAGCCTTCCAGTTCGGACAGAAATAGTGAGGACCAAAACCCGGGCCCGTCAGACTCCAGAGCCCACGCTCACACCGCTCGCCGGGGGCACAGAAGTACCAGGACACCCCCGGTAAGCCTGGAGCCCCAGTAAGAGGGAAAACTAGAACGGAGAGGCAGGGCAGGAATGGAGGATGGAAGAGGCCTCTTCCAATTTCCTACAAGATGTGAGTATGACCAAAAAACAAGAAAGGGTTGAAGAAGACCAAGATGGAGTCAATAAAAACACTAAATAACCTGGCTGGCATAGCTCAGTGGATTGAGCGCAGGCTGCAAACCAAAGTGTCGCAGGTTCGATTCCCAGTCAGGGCACATGCCTGGGTTGCAGGCCACGGCCCCCAGCAACCACACATTGATGTCTCTCTCTCTCTCTCTCTCTCTCTCTCTCTCTCTCTCTCTCTTTCTCCCACCCTTCCCTCTCTAAAAATAAATAAATAAAATCTTAAAAAAAAAAAAACACTTCATAAATAAGTGAGATCTGTATCTAAACAAACAAACAAAACAAAGACTGCAGCCGTGATCTCCAAACGCTCCCAACGAGCAGAGTGCAGAGGCAGGGAGACTCCGGCCTGTCTGGCAAGCCCGGGGCACTGACCCTTTGCGCCAACAGCACCGCCGAGAACCAGGGCGGTCAGCACCCAGCCCTCCCCTCTGCGAGGCCCGCCCCGTCACCTGCAGGTCATCGTAGAGGCTGCCGCTCAGGTACATGTCCCGAAGCGGCATGTCAGGCAGCTTGGCCCGCAGGAAGCCCCGGAGCTCGGCGCATATGTCCACGGCAGCTTGCTTGGCCCGCGCCTGCTCGCCGGCAGGGATGGCGGCCCGGTTCCGGTAGTACGCGAGCAGTTTCTCCTGCAGGGACATGCGGAGTCGTGACTTCTTCAAGTCTACCTGGCCCTTCCTGGCCAACGGCTTGGGCCGGGGTGGGCAGAACGTATCTGCCAAGGCAAGAGAGAGAAGCGTGTCAGCCCTTCCCGGGCTTGCTCCGCCCATGGCTGCCTCAACCCCAGACAGAAGGGCTTGGCACCAAAGGCAGGCACTGGCACGGCGCCTGGCAGCTGTGTGCTCGAGAAACCTTTGCTGAGGGCAGGAGGGCCGAGAGCCCCCACAACAGGCCCGGGGGGTGGGGGGGAGGATGACAGGCGTCTCACCGGTGTCGAAGGCCGAGGAGTCCGTGGGCAGCGTCTGCAGGGAGCGGCTCAGGCCGGCCTTCATGTCCTTGTTCAGCAGGCGGGGGGAGCCCATCCAGTTCGGCTCTTCCCAGCTCCTCTTCCCCAGGTGGCTCAGGCGGGTGGGGCTGGTGGGCGCGCTGATCGCCCGATCGTACATCTGAAACGGCAGAGGACCCGCACGTGCGCCTCTTCCTCCCTGTCCCCTCCTTCCCTTCGCCAGGTGAGTTCCAAACTACTACTTTTCAATGCCTTTGTTTCACTCTAGATCACAGGATCCTTTTCCCCGTGCAGGGAATCTCAGGAAATGCAAAATCATATAAGCAACAGATTTATTTGTAATGTCACAACACAGAGATTAAGCATTAATATTTTGGTATATTTCTTTCTGGAAAAAAAAATAGATTTAAGGAAATAATATCCTACTCTACATATACTTTTGAAACCTTACTTTTTTCACTTAGGACTTTTATCATTTCCCTGCATCACTAAAAATGCACCAGTGCACTGTGCCACGAATGTAGTGGGGAACACCGGTTCATTCCATCACCGAATGCTCGCTGAGGAGCTGCTGCGCGCCAGGCCCTGTTCCGGGCACGCAGAGCAGCGCGGCGGGCAAAGCGCCTCCCGGCCCTCACGGGGCTTCCAGTCTGGGAGAGGGGGCGGGCAGTACGTACACAGTGAAACGCAAAGTACGCAGAGAGGGACAAACGTCGAGGAAAACGAAGTAGGAAAGGGAACTAGGAAGCATATTATGTGGTGGGGGGTGTTGCTATTTAAAATAAGGTAGTCAAGGAAGGAGGTTTTGGTTATTTACAATTTTTTACTCGCTGGGATAAACTTCATCAGGGCAGAGACCTAGCAGCAGACTGAACTGACTCCTCTTGGGGTCTCATCTAACGACGCCGAACGACCGCGCCGTGTTCCAGGCCAGCCCCACTCTGCGGAGGCAGCCCCCCGCCTCTCCCACCCCTGGCCCGGCTGCAGGCACTTACCCGCTTAACCGCCAGGGTGGCGATGCCCAGCATGGCTGCTCCACCCACCCCCAGCACCAGCCGGGCATTGGAGAGCACGAAATCAAGGGCCGTGCCGATGCCATTGTCATCCTTCTTGCCTTTGCGCTCGCCAGCGCCTGCCATTGCTCACCTGAGAAAGAAGGCAGAACGCAGCCATCACCACCTGGGACCTCAGGAACTGTCCCTCCTGTCTCCCCCACCAGGCCAGTCCCCGGGCAGTTCAGCAAATCCTCCCACCGCTAACACTGCATGCTCTAGGGTCAAGAGAGAGACACGGCGTCCCAAGCTGTATCTGGATGTAAGAGGAGAGCCGGTCACACTTACTATGGGAGAACCTCTCCACTGATCCACTGAAATTACGGAAAGCATTAAGCTTAGTTCAGCCCTTCCCCGCATTAGAGTACCCCACCACGCAACGCAAGTCTCTCCCTGCCCCTGCCCGACGTTACAATGCAGACTGCACTTTGTTCCTTTGGCCACCGCTTCATGGGAGGTTAGATCTGAGAAGGTCTAACCTAGTAGATTAGAGGAGGCTCATCTCACCTCATTGCACCACCTCACATGTGGGGAGGAGACTTGATAGAGGTCCCGAGACAGGGAATGGCAGAGCCACCTCCAGAACTCTGGACTCCCGACTCCTACTGCAGCGCTTCTTCTACTGGATCGTATTTATTACCCTCCCCCACCCAGATCAAACTCTTCCTATCCTATGTACTGCCTGCAAAGCAAAAGCAAACAACCCACAAAACAGCATGGACCAAACACCCTGCGCACGCGCGCACACACACACGACTACGAGTCCACCCGTGGCAAAGGTCCAAAGGAGGAAATAACCCTCATGGACACTCCCACTTGACAAATGCCGTTTCCTGGGGCAAGTGTGCAGGGCGACTGCCCCCGGCTGGGGTGAGGCCGGCACTGTGAGAACGAGATAAACGCAGAGGACACTGCAGACTTGGCCGTAACTGACAAACAAGCGAATGAAACCCCCCCTGCTCACACGCCCTTGGAACATGAACTGAAAATGTGGACACCTAAAGGGAGTCCTTGGGCGCAACACTGAAGAGGCAGGCCTCCCGTGCCCGGCCCACAAGGCCAGCATGCACTTGCTCCCCGGCAATGACGGAGTCATCCTGATCGAAGCTCCCCTGGTCCCCAAACAAGCCAATCTCCCACGGAGTCAGGAGCCTGTCCCAACCCAGCAGAGGGTGGCAACACGGTTAGGTCTGAACACTGCTCTCAGCACCAGCCCTCTCTTCTGCCCCGTACACCGGGATCACGCAGGGACAGAGCCGTACCCCGTTCAGGATCCCGGCACACCCGGAATGGGCGGCCAGTGACACAAGGCCCTGGCGACCTTCCAGGGTCAAGTAACATTCTTTCTGTACCTTGTCACAACCGAGACTGTTTCACAGCTCACACTCTGCCTACAGCTCTGCACGCCCCCGAAAGGAAAAGAAACATTTCTGCCTCTGCTTATTCCAGCAGTTGCCTAAGAGTCGCTGTCAAGTCCAAAGACATTTGTTCCCTAACTGGAGTTCACAACCTTGGTGGCACTTTTCTTTCCTCCACCTTTCAGAGCCAACAGGAACGTCACATTAGGGGCATATGAGACCACTCAGGCGAAGGAAAAGTATCCCCACTTCGAATGCACAGAGCAAGCAAGGCCAGGAAGAGCTCAACTCTGCATTTACAGGTGGGGGTCAGGCAAGAACGCCTGCCGTCCTTTTCCCAGTGGCCACTGAGACAGAGACGGGACACATCAGACTCACTCGGCTGAGGCGGCGTAATCCAATCAGGACTGCAGTTCCCACACACAACAACGACGTTTTGTTTTATTTTTATAAAAACAAAACACCTTCCGCTGGTGTGTTGACAACAGGAAGAACCGCTGGGCGGAGGCGCCCTCCAGGTGGCAGGTGGTCCTCGGACGCCCTGCGGTAGGACCAGAAGAGCGCGTCCTCCTCCCAGGCAGAGGCCAGATGGGGCCCCCCTGGGCCACCCCGTCCTTGGCCTGTGCGATGTGGTGGCTAGTGAGAGCGAGTCAGTGACGTGGCAGAACAGAAAAGACCTGGGCTTCCAAGTTAGAAATCCTGAGACCGGGAACTTGCCTTGGAGCCCTGACTAATTAGCTGGGTGACCTCAAAGGAGTCACTTAACCCCTCGTTACAAAAAGGGGATAATGATGCCAGTGTGGCCTACATCATAGGGGTGTGGCCTACATCATAGGGGTGTGGCCTAGACCATAGGGGTGTGGCGAGGAAAAAACATCCACTAAAATACTGTATGCCAACACTTTATAAACTAAAAGTACTCCAGATATTTGAGTTTATGATGAAGTCTTTTAAGATTCCCACCTACAGGACAAAAGGTCAGCTTCCAGAGAGCAGTGAGGAATCCAGACTATCCCCTAAGTTACATCTGACCTTCTGAGACAGAGGTAAGAATGGCCTCTAAGTCCTGGCTGGTGTGGCTCAGTGGATTGAGTGCTGCCTGGGAACCAAAGGGTCACCGGTTCAATCCCTGGTCAGGGCACATGCCTGGGTTGCGGCCCAGGTCTCCAGCCTGGGGCGGGCAAGAGGCAACCACACATCGATGTTTCTCTCTCTCTCTTTCTCTCTCCCTTCCCCTCATTCTAAAAATAAATAAATAAAATCTATTAAAAAAATGGCTTCTAAAACTCAGACTGATGCTATCCTGGGCTTGCGACCAAAACGGTGTGATGGGGTGGCCTGGGAGAAGGCTGTCCCGCCCCAGTGCAGTGCGCCCCTCCCATCGGAGGGCCGGCGGGCCTGGGCGCGGCGGGTGTCCACGACCTCCAACAGGAAGACCTGAGCCCTCACTTTAAAATGTAACTGGTTCCAACTGACAGTGCTTACCCACTGTACCTCCTCCACTCGGGTTCTGGGGCACTAGTAGCCGGCAGCCTCCTAGGAGACAGGAACTCCACCCACCTGGCGAGGGGCCTGGCTCCCCAGTGCACCCAAGAGGGGGCGCTGTTGTTCAATGGGTATAGAGGGTCGGTTTTGCAAGACAAATTCTGGAGATAATACACAACAGCGTGAGTACTCTGGTTTTTATTTTGGGGTGTTTTTTTTTTTTGCCATTTTTAAAATATAACATTTATTCCTTAGATGATTTGATACAGAATGGCTTTTCTTCTCATTTTGAATCTATAAGTATGATACACCTAAATACAAAAAGAAACAAACAGCACCAAAACCAAATTTGTGATTCTGTTCATGCGGCATAAACAATTCATTCTTACCAATGAACTAGCTGTACACTAAAAAATGGCTGAAATGTTTAAAGGAAGAGCACCGCCCTGGCGGGTAGGGCGGGGATGGAGAATCCGAGCACTGCCAGCATTCAGGGGAGTTACTTAATGGGCCTCCCTAGATCCAAAAATGGGACTAGGGATATGGATACCCATCGCCCCAGCATCGTGGTGATGAGTAATGCGGGGCCCTGCCGCGTCCTGGGGTGGCAGCACAGAACTCTAAAAACTCCAACCTATTTTGCTTAAAAAAGTCATGTGACTCAAACTTGTCATGAGGTCAGTCATACTGTTGTGTCCAGTTTTCAGAGGAAGAAACTGAGACAAAGGTTAAGTAACTAGCCCAGGGTCACCATGGCAACAAGTTGCGTGGAGGTTTGAGCCTAGAGCTCATGCTGCCGGGTCATAGTAGTTTACAGGGGCCTCAGGTGACTTGCTCACATGTGCTCTGTATTAGCCACTAGACCGCAGCTTCTTGGGGGCATGTTGGCTCCTTCACTGCTACCACCCAGGGCCAGCAGCGTTTGGTAAGTATTTGTTGCACAATGAGCTATAACCCTGTGGTTTTTTTTTTTTTTGGCAGGAGTGATTGCAACCTGTAACCCAACTCACAGTCAAAACCAATCAGGAGCACAAAGACTCAGTAACTCACTGTTTCATTCCAGGCCCCCACGGGTGCCCACCCATCTCAGCCCTACACTGCCAAAGACCAGCCTGCCAGTCAACTGAAGTGGCTCGAGCAGAGACAAAAGCAACTACATAAGGGTCATCCTCCTGCTTTCCCTCTCGAAGTCAGAAACAGTACCCTCCACCCAGCTGGCAAGCCTTACGACTCAGCCTTTGCTCTTTCTCCTCCTCCTGCCTCAGCCAACTGGTCACCAGGCCCCGCTGCGGTACACCACGTTGTAGCTCCATGCAGCCACTCCGCCCCTCAGTCTCATCTGGCCGGATCTGCTGCCTCTGAACCCCTCACCAGTTTACTCTCCAGGCTGCCACTGCCATGACCCCTCCCCCACGACGTTCCACCCGCTTACAAAGCTGTGATGGTCCCCCTACTGTCAGAAGTCACAATCTCCTCAACAGAGGATCCAGTGTCCTTCCGGACCTGGCCCAGCCCCAGCTCCAGCCACCTGCCTCACAGGTGCACCATTCTAGCCACGCCAGATTCAAGTTTCTGGACTACAAAGTATAGTCTGCACCTCCACACCAGCTTTTTCTTGCCCATCTCCTCGGCAACCTTCTATTTCTCTCAAGGCAGACCTCAAATGTCCTCCCTTCAACAGCTGCCTGTGATTCCCTCTGCCACCCCCTGCCCAGGGCAGCTATGTTTTTACCCTTCCTGTAAGCTTTTGTACCCAACCCTCTGGCACAGAGCTGCTCGTGCTGGGATTACTTCCTGTTGATCCCGCGTTAGACCGAGCCCCTCAGTGGCCTGTCATTCATCTGCATCCCAGAGCCTGCAGGACGCCTGCGCCACAGAGGGGCCTTTGGGAGAGCTGCTGAATCCAATATGACCGTTGGGTTATTTTTAGTGGGACTTCTTATGACACCGGTATCGGGAGTACACAGAGGTAACGCCACTCGAGGAGTAGTTCCAAGTGCTGGGTGAGCACTGTCTCACTGAACTCTCACGATAACCTGGGGGGTGGGTACTCTTCTGTCCATTTTACAGATGAGGAAACAGAGGCCTGGCAGCGATCCGCTCTGAATCCCACAGCCGTCAGCAGCAGTGCCTGCAGGGGAACCCAGACACCTTCCCCTAGCACCTGTAACTATGTTTTGCTTTGTATTTCAGACGGTTGTAACAACATATAGTCATGTCTGGAGAACGTGGACAGACCCGCAA